TTGCAGTAGATTTCCGTCCGTTTGGTTATTAATCGTTTTAAATAGTTTAGTATCATCAGCAAAACAGGAAACAGAAGAAGCGGTGACAGTATCATGTATAACATTAACGTAGAGAAGGAATAGTACAGGTCCAAGAATAGAACCTTGAGGTACGCCTGAAGTAATTTCGAGGGAACACGAAGTACCGCCAGTAACAGTGAACACGTTGTTTCCGTCCGGATAAATAGGAAGAGAACCAAGAATGGAGGTTTCTCCTAATATTAATATTTTGTAGTTTGTCCAAAAGTACATCATGTCGAATTCTGTCAAATGCTTTGCTCATGTTCAAGTAAATTATGTCTGTCTGTTTTCCGTTGTCGAGTTGTTGGCCAATGCACTCCAAGACCTGTATTAACTGCGTTGTGCATGATCGACCTGGAATGAAACCGTGCTGATTGTCACTAACGTATTGAAGCACATGTTTTAATATTATATTGAACCTACTCATTATTTCAATGGGGAACGTCCGTCGGAAGTACAGTGCACTTCCTAGTTCCTGTAGTGCACTAAGTTTAAAATAGCTATGATATTGAGCTATTTCTTGCCTAGTTTCGCGTTCTTTCTACGCTGTTGATCGAAGTCAGAGATCGAAGCTGATATTCTTCGGCTAATCGCAAACAATTTTCGCGTTTAATCCCGTAGTATTAAGGTGAAAGTGCTAAGTTGTCTTTGATTTTTGAGCCGGGCGTTAAGATCGAGGTTACCATCACTGATGCATAATTTTGTCTAAAGGCCTGTTTACACTTGCAATTTTTGCTGCGATTCAAAGTGCGTTTTCTGGACTTTCGGTTTTTACCTTTCTCATCTTGCTTTCACACTGCTTATTATTCTGATGGATGTGAACGAGTGGGGCTACATGTACTTCAAACATTCGTAACTCATCTATCAGAAGGCGAAAATCGCACTAGAAATCGCAGCAAAAATTAAACAACACAAGCCTTAAGAAAGACCAAACCTTGTGATGAAGAATAAAAGTTAGTTGACAGACCGACTATAGTGCTTATAAATAAAAAAAAATCATAAAATTAGGTATGTGTTTGAACAAGGTATGTATTTGTTTTGTATTTAATTGACTTAAATATATAATATTGATAAATATAATATTGATCTATTTTCAGTCCTCGGCTCGGCTGTCGCCTCGTGGATAAGAAAATTCCATATTTTACCTCATGAAAATATTTGCACTCAGAAACATTCATTATTTGTATAATATTATATATAGATCGTATATTGTTAGACATTGTTTTTTCCGACCAGACGTTTTCAGTAATCACGGTGAATATATTTGCAGGTTTAGGTTTACATGCATGCAGAACAATTGGTAAAAGGAGAATAGTGCGAATAGTCGGCAAATAGTGCGAATAGTCACCAGGAGTGCGAATAGTCGACGAATAGTCGTCAATAGTCAACGAATATTTCGAATAAGTTTTTTTTTAATTTTCTGTTGTCTTTTATTAAACATTTTATAACTAAAATAAAAAGACTCCGTACGAACCGTACGGTTCGTGAAAATGATTTACGGATCGTGAACGGCCTACTTTGTCGATCCGTAAAGAGCGTCAATGGGTGATGTTGTGTTCAAGTCAGGGCATAAAAGTTTGTCGATCCGTAGTGTACTCGAGGACTTTTATGCTAAGGTTTATTCAAGTTTTTAAAAAAAATAGTTTTTACAAAAGTTTTAAAAAGTTTTAAAAAAGTTTTAAAAAGCAAAAAAAGTTTAAAAAGTTAGATTTTTAAAAAAGTTAAAAAAGTTAAAAAAATTTAAAAAAGTTTGGGTTAGGGGTTGGTTAGGTGTTAGGGGTTAGTGGTTGGGGTTAGGGTTAGGTGGCGCGAATTTATTATTATGATAAATTCAAAATTTGCCGCGAATTTATCATAATGATAAATTCGGGCGTGTTTAAGAATTTACTCGTATAGTAAATTCAAAGGTGGAGCTCATGCTGAATCATTACATGCGCGACAGAACTTATCCCAATTAGTATTTCGGCAAATTATTTCAGACTTATATATCGGAATAAAAATTTCACCAATATCTTTCATATTATTTGCTGTCTTGGTGTAATGTACTGAGTCTCAGGTGAATAAGATGCTTGTGATGTTACTCTGAGTGTAACATCACAAGCATCTTCCATATTATTAATCACAATAATTCATTGACATTGTAGAACTTTTAAACAATCTTAAAATAACTATGTAAACAAGTGAAAGTTAGCAATTTAATAAGAACAGATAGTTGAATTCTTCACATGGATGCGTCGACTATTCGTCGAGTATTGTCAGTATTCTCACTATTCGCCGACTATTCGCACTGTTCTCCATTTATCAATTGCCGTCTTTACAGTCTTTAGTTGTGCCGAGTGAAACCACATCTGCATGCATGCATGTTTCAAGAAAAAAAATTCACGAACAAACCAACAGTTTCGGCGAGTATATATACCATATCACCGCGTTTCTCCACTATATATACACTAGTCACTACCAATTGTTCCAAAGATTGGCCCCTTGCACACGCATAGATTTAATTAATTTCCGCCGATATGAAGAGGTGGTTTTAAATTCCACCCACTGCTGAAACAATATATGATACAGTTTTTAAAGAGAAGAAACTTGCAGACCATCCAATTCGCATTCTGAATCAGTTTTAATTACTTGAAAACCCTTCAACATCCAGTTACATGTCCAGTGAGATAGCTACCCAAAATACTGATATTGTTTGTGATTATAGTCCATATTTGCAATGAGAAAAAATAATTTTTCCAAAAATCAAAAGGAACTCAACACATCGTTGAAATTAGGAACATGAAAATTTTCAATGAATATAACAAGTTCTTCAGTACTGACCTGTAGGAAATCAAATAGAGCCTTGGCTTTTGAAATTATGGACAAATTATGAAACGAATTCTGTATAATCAACTCTGCAATTATATTTGTCTGAAAATGATCTATTTGAACGTCAGGCCCTTGATAGAAAATTAGAACTATTTATATGGAATCAAAGAACAAGCTTTTTCGCTCTAAAATCATATCTAACTGACGCCGTAAATGGATCAGTCTGTCAGGTTCTTTATCTTACCTGCATACCAGACAGGGACGTAGCGGCCATCTGGGGGTATCGGAGGATTTTACCTGAAATTTGAACTTCAATGTTAAAGATTTACCTGAAGTGTAATAATTATAATAAAGCTTTTTCTGATTGATTTCCACTGTCATACTAATTTTCTGAAGAAAAGGGGATTCTGGGGGTCCTCCAGGTCCTCCTCCTAGGACTGCTGATTCAGTGGCGTTTTCTAAAGGACCCCCTTGAAGCAAAATTCGCAAACGAGTTGGATCTAAATTGACTGTATTTTACAAAAATGATTATCATTTCACAAAAATAACGACTTTATTACACAAATTTTACCTGAAAATGTCAAAATTAAATTTGAATTGTACCTGATTCTTACCTGAGTTTCACAGTTGTGGGGGTTTACACCCCCACACCCCCAGTCCCTGATGCCAGAGGGCCGATATTGTTGCAAATAGTCTTTCATTTTTGGAAATAGTGATCGTGGTTCCAAGAAATTTCATTCTTGGAACTGCTCATGAAACTGATGAATGTTACGCATGGCGACACATGTATTTAAATCACCTTATATCGACATTCCTTTTACTATATTATTAACAAATATATATTTTACGACACGTGAAATATATTTGATATAAGATATATTGTATTGAGATGAGAAAGTACTTGTGTTCTGATTTTGGGCTATGAGGTACGAAGTATTTGTTTCCGCCTTCCTACTTACAATTACAGACTCACTTTACACCGGTAAGTGTAACATTATTACAACAATATATATGGTGCATGCATGGTTATACCTATATTTCTAGAAAAAGTGTAAGATAAATAATAATATAACTCATTTAACTTCATACGTTGCATAATATAATAATAAATAATAAGTTTAAACTATTGATTATATGGATCAAATAAGGCCAATATAGCATGACTTATACATGACCTTGTCAATTATACAACGGTTATAGCTATATAGTCTACCGACGTGGTGCGTATATATGCATGAGCAATAAATGGAACATATATTTCTTCAATACGTTGAATATTAATGCATGCAATATGTAGGGAAAGTTGTGTAATTTTAATTCAGGGTTTTTACCTGTACTTTATGGCTATAGCCTATATGCACGACTATTTCCATAAAAAAACACATTTTAAAATTACATGCAGCTAATCAGTTTTAAAACTTCGGCTTCGCTCATGGTAGATATAAAAATGAGCTTCCTGGAATGATTAATAAAAACACTCAACATAAATTGTTATTAGACTAGTTTTACATTGTATATCGTTAGCTATATCGTTAGTTAGCCATTGGCCCTGCTATACTTCTAGTTTCGATTTAGAACTGAAAAATTGCTACTCGGAAGTGCATTTCCAGGAAGCGAATTATAAGGAGGATCAAAATTAAATGTCATCAGAGTTTCAGTCGACTGTACTGATTATCCAAGCACGTTATACGTGAAAGAATGCCCCGAAAACAAAATAATAAAAACACACGTCAAATTATTGTGGGAGAATGGGATCTGGATGAAATGAACCAATTATATTTTAAACTTTGATCAACGCAAAGACTCATTTCGCAGCTGTTGACATGCGAGCCTGCCCTGTTTGAAGGTCACCATACAAGATGTTGTCTCATTAAATTTAATTTATATATTGTTATATGCAGTACTCTAGAAATAAGTTGACAAAAACGCCGTGCCTGTCATCTAGGTTCAGAGCCTCAGGGCTTGACCTCAGTTTTAGAGCCTCAGTCAACTACACCATAAAGAAGTAAATAAAATATAATTCTAAAATTCACTGGGATAAATACAAATCTTTGCGGAACAAAGCAAATATTCAACTGCGTGAAAGCAAAGCTAAATTTTATCACAAAGAGATTGGGGACTGTGCTAAATGCATGGACTGTGCTAAATTAAAGGACTTTAAAAAAATTTGGTCACTCATAAATTCTCTTACTGGTAAGAATAAGAAATCTATCAGTATTACAGAAATAACTGTTGATAATAACAACATTCCAGATTCCAAATTAATTGCCGAATCCTTTAATGAATATTTTGTTAATATTGGCCCTAAACTGGCATCTGAAGCAAGTGAAGAATTCCTTGCTAAGCATGCGACTAACTATAATCCCTGTCCTACAATAGATCCTATAATAGATTCTACATTTTATTTTCATCATGTTCATATTGATAACATTGCTCAGGCATTAATGAGACTTAAACCAAACAAATGTACTGGTCTTGATAAAATCCCAGCAAAAGTTCTTAGGCTTTCTGCGGATATCATTGCTCCCTCATTAACCTACATTTTCAACCTATCACTTGATACTGGTATCTATGTTGATGAGTGGAAACGTGCGCAAGTAATCCCAATCTATAAATCAGAAGATAGACGGAAATGTGAAAATTATAGACCAATTTCTATACTCCCTATTTGTAAGCAAAAGGAGGTATTGAAAGGGAGGTATTTCGACAGCTGTATGGCTATCTCTCTGATAGCTCACTTCTATCTAAATTTCAATCAGGTTTTCGCCCCAAACACGCAACTCTATCTGCTTTAATACGAATGTGTGACGATTTACTGAAAAACATGGATAACGGAGAATTAAATTGTGTAGTTTTCCTTGACGTTAGAAAAGCCTTTGATTCCATAAATCACGAGATACTGTTAGACAAAATGCATAATTTTTTTGGAATAACGGGAACTCATAGTCCAGTCAAATAACTATAAGTACATGGTCCTGATCAAAGTAATTGCAATAGATTTGTTTTCAGTGGTAAAGTGTGAGAAAAGTTGTTCTGATTAACATACTAAAAATCCCAAAAAATCCCTTCGGTGGAACATGGTGAAAATCGAGTTTTTCTTACTTCTACCTATAGAAAACCATTGTGGACAGAATGTTGAAATTTTGAAATCATTTTTAGGCAAATGTAACCTACATTATTGGAAAGCTTAGAAAAAACTAAAATATAAATCATTAAACGGTTATCTTGCTTTTTCCTATCCAGCCGAAGTTAAACAAGATTTAAAATGCCATAAATTTGTATTTTGTGCAAATTTTGCACTATTTTTCCAACTTTGAGCTAGAATAACGACAAACTGACCAAATCTATATTTTAGTTTTTTCTAAGCTTTCCAATAATGTAGGTTATACATTTGCGTAAAAATGATTTCAAAATTTCAACATTCTGTCCACAATGGTTTTCTATAGGTAGAAGTAAGAAAAACTCGATTTTCACCATGTTCCACCGAAGGGATTTTTTGGGATTTTTAGTATGTTAATCAGGACACCTTCCCTCACATTTTACCACTGAAAAAAATTCTATTGCAATTTCTTTGACCTCTGGTCACAGATTGACTGGACTATCAATTAAAATGGTTTGAATCATATTTGAATAATAGAGTACAGCAATGTTTGATTAATGGACAACTTTCGAGTTCGAAAACGATTACATGTGGAGTTCCCCAGGGGTCTATCATGGGTCCTTTATTATTTTTAATTATTATATATAAATGACATGCCTGATTCATTAAGCTACTCAGTTTCATTCCTTTATGCTGATGCTACAGAAATATATGCTTCCTCTAACAACTGTGACGACCTTGTAGATAAAGTAAATTTTGATCTTCAGAATATACATAAATGGATGATTGAAAACAAGCTTCAAACGCACTCTAATAAATCTAAACATATGTTTATTGGATCATCCTATAACCTTAAGAATAAAATAACTAGGAAACCTATTCTAATTAATAATCAACCAATTCCCAGGACAGATAGTTACTCGTGCCTAGGCGTGAATATGGACGAAAGACTTTCCTGGGAGAAACATATTGATAATATATGTTCAAAGGTTGGTGCTGGTATTGGTGCAATGAGACGAATTAAGCCTTTTGTCCCACTATCGACACTAAAAATGTTGTATAATGCCATCGTGGAGCCTTGATTATTGCAGTCCGTTATGGGATAATTGCGGTATTGGAATGAAAAACAGGCTGCAAAAATATCAAAATCGGGCTGCAAGGGTAATTACTGGGGCAAACTATGATGTTCGATCGGCTGATTTACTTAAAAACTTAAGATGGGAACCCTTAGAAGTAAGACGCAACTACTTGAAAGCTATTTTCATGTATAAAATAATTAATGGCCACACCGCACCTAATCTAAAAGAATCGTTTCGATCAAACAACAAAATAGATCATTCTCAGAAATAGAGAAACTGACTTAGCACTTCCTATGCCAAAGAAAGAATTCGGCAAGAGGTGCTTTAACTATAATGAGGCCTCGCTGTGGAACAATCTTCCCCAGGAGGAAAAAAATTCAGAATCGTTAAGCTCTTTCAAAACAATTTTGAATCAGAGAATTTGTTGAATCTGGCTCATCAAAATATATTAACCTCTAAGCAGTACAACTGTGCTAATGTGTTTTATCTCGTAAATAGTTCTAAATCACGCCCCTCATGAAAATCAGCTTGTAATGTTGTTGAGGCTAGCGTGAATAAATAAAGATTGTATGTATGTATGTATGCATGTATGTACGTATGTACGTATGTACGTATGTACGTATGTACGTATATGTACGTATGTATGTATGTTGATCATTCTTTGGGTTTGAAGTGAAGCGGGTCACGCTTAAAATCAGCAGGAAACTTAAAGGATAATTATAATAAACACACAGTACGGCCAAGGTCCCACGGATGAATTATCGGTGGGATTATTATACGAGGTTAATTCCTTTGCTGATTGTCTTGATAATATACATACACGGCAGTGGTGGTGCCAAAGAGGGGCTAGGGGGGCTACAGCCCCCCTGTCGGGGAGCCCTAGCCCCCCCCCCCCCCCGCAA